CCCCCAGCCCTAGATCCCAACCACCTTGCCCTAAAAAACATCAGTTTGGTTGAGGCGCTGATGAAGACACTTCCCTGCATTGTTTGAGGTGGGGACACTGGTTGCTCGGGGTCCTGTGTGTCTTATGTGGGGAGAGGGGTGTTCTAGGCACGCTGACACTCCTGGGGCTGCTTGGGACCGGGGCCTGGAAGATCATCCCAGCCCACCCACCAGTGAGTGACCCAGGGTGAAGGGGGAGCTTTGAAGCTTGTGTGTGGAGCAGGGGTGGAGTGGCAGGCAGGCAGGCAGGCAGGCAGGCCGGCCCCTGGGAGCCTAGGTAACTTGGTGCTCTGAGGGTGGACAGCTTGGCGCTATGAGTGGGCCCTCTTGCCTGCACACCGCCCAGAGCCCACAGCAGTAGAGGTCAGGGGAGTGGCCTTGTGCAGGCCGGACCCAAATGTTTGCAGACCCTGGTCTTGGGTCCAGCCTCAGGCCCAGTCTCCCCTGGGCAGAGAGCTGCACAGCCCTGCCCCTGAGGGGACCCCATCCCACTCCCCTCTCTGTCCTGCCCGGCTCTGCCTACGGTAGGGCTCCCCACCAGTCTTGCTTCCCTGAGTTCTCAGGCATGCCCTCCTGGAGTGCCGTCCGCTCCCCTGCAGTGTTCTCATCTCAGGCATCTGCCCTGGGTGTGGGCCTTCTGGCTCCCCAGCACATGGCACTCCCCTGGGGTACACGCACCTCATGGTCTCTTCTCCCACTCCCCCGCTCAGGCCTCTTGCTGGTGGGCAGGGCCCTTCTCTGTGAGGGTCTCACCCTCCACCCACTGGAAACCCCAGCCTGGAATATGACTGCTCAGTATGTGTGTGTAAGGGAACAAGTACAGTGGGGTGTGCACGTGTGTGCATATGTAGAGGCAAGTGTGCAGCCTGGGTGCACGAGGGAGCGTGGTGCTGTGTGCTGATGGGTGCTGTGAGTGCATGTGGGATCCCATTCATGTGTGCCAAGGTATGCACATGCGTATTTGTGCATGTTGCGTGTTCCTGAGTGTTATGCACACTTCCGTATGCACGCCATCAATGCGACCATGGCAGATGGTGAAGGGCCAAGGGCAGTGAGCACCCAGCCAGGCAGGGGCATCCTGGCACCCCCAGCCACGGGGTGGTGGGTGGGGCTGGTGTGAGCAGAGCAGTGTTCCTATGCAGTACTACCCTCTAAGGAGCCCCACCCAGGTCTGCTACCCTTGGGGTCCTACCACCCTGCAGTCGCTCCTTCCTCAGAACTGCCTGGGCAGGGTGCCGGCCTCTGCCCCCGCCCCACCTCAGTCCCCTCCTTGAGGTTCCCAGATGGCAATCATAGCCCTCCCCACCCTGTGGACAGTCCAGGGTTGGTCGTGTCCACGGACTTGGGCCTTGCTCCCAGCCCACCTGCCTCCTCTCCTGAGTGGGCACTCTTGAGGGTCCTAGCCCCCCTTCACCACACAGGCCTGGAATGCGGGTCCCCAGTGCATCACGGCCCCCAGGAGATGAGCTGGCTGCGTCCTCCCCCTCTCCACCCAGGACAGGGGCCCGGTTTCCTGGGTGTCAGGGTTCAGCGGAAGCAGGGTGAGTGGGTGGGACTGGAGGGGGCAGGGATGAAGGGCTGGAGCGGGGGGTGGGGAGGGGCAGGATGGAGGGCCGGGGCAGGACTGGAACAAGGATGCAGCAATGAGGTGCGGGGAGGAGGGCTGTGTCAGGTTCTCCTCCCCGCCCCTTCATCCTCTGCCTGGCGGTTGGGGTGGTTAGGGGACCCCCCCCTTCCAGCCTGGCGTCCAGCGGATGCTTGTCTCTGACATAGAGAAAGGAACACATATCCAGCCGCAGCAACTCGCTGGCCTGAGGAGTGGGTCTCCCCACACTGGGGTGTGAGCCAGGCCTCCGTTCTCCACGCAGGCCAGGTTCTACTTTCCGCTGCCCATGGTCAGAGAGGAGCTTCAGACAGGGACCCAGCTCAGCCTGACCCACTTATAGCTAGCCTTCCACCAAACTCGATGCGCCCCCAGCCCCACAAACCTGCTGCTGCCCTGTGGGTCTACCTCACAGGGACCCTTTAGATCCTAGGGTTGGTGAGGCTGTACATATTTAGGGAGCCAGCTACTCCCCCCCCTTTAACCCAGCACGATACGAGGACTTGGCTCAAAGCACCTCCACGCCTGCTTATTTAAGGGTGGTGGGCCTGGGAGGGGAGGAGATGGGCGGATGGTCAGCGGACCTCCCAGGCAAGGGACACGAAGGACTGGGACACGTTTGGAAAGTGTCCCAAAAGTGCCACTGCCGTGTGGGACCACGTTTTGCCAAAAACAACAGCTCACCAGCACAGTTCCCTCACCTGTTTCATTGAGGTGGGCAGGGGTGGGGTGGGTCATGAGCCTAAGGGCCCCCCCCGGCACCCAGCCAGGGCACTTGCTCCAGGAATGCTCAGGGGTGCACACCCTGCCTTGGGGGTGGGGAGCTTCCTAGGGGAGCCTGGGCTCCCAGGCCAGCTTTCCTGCTGGGGGGCCCATGTGGTGCCTGTGCAGGGGTCTCGCTCCCACCCCTCTTGGTTGAGAGACAGCCAGGCCAGACCCTGGAGACCTGTGGGTGGGGCTTTGAAATGGATTTGCTGATGGGATGCCCTGGGGTGGGGGGTGGGTCGGGAAAGAGCCCCAACCCACTGCCCACTGCCGCTGAGTCAGTTCTGTCTCTGCTGGCCCCACGTGGGGTTTCTGGAACTGAGGATCATCACAGGAGCCGGTAGCCTCCACTGTCTCCAGAGAAGCAGCAGGTGGGTTTGAACTGCAGGCTTGGAGGTTAGCAGTCCAATGCTTACCTTACTCTGTGCTTCCACCAGGGCTCCCTGTGGGAGGAATGATTTCACGCAGTCTGTCAGTTTCTTGTTCATTCGCTCATTCAGTCAGTCAGTCACTCACTCATTCATTCACTCATTCATTCATTCAGTCACTTACTAATTCACTCACTGCCGTCAAGTCGGTGCAACTCATGGTGACAGGACAGGGAAGAAGAAGTGCCCTGTGAGTTTCAATGGGGGCAGAAAGCCCCATCTCCCTCCTGGATCCTCAGCCCCATGGCCCTGGCCTGTGTCTCCTAGGGCAACTCCAGAGGTGGGCACCCTGAGGCGCCAGAGATGACAGTCTCAGTTGGGTGTTGATGGCCGAGGCTCCTCTCCTGAGGGTCCTAGCCCCTGGGACTCTCGGCTTTCCCGGCCTTCTGGTCACACCCTCACACAGCCACAGCGCGAGCCCATAGCGTGAACCTCTCCAGGCCCAGGCTTTGAATGCAGTCCTGGTCACAGGTCAGTGCTTGACCATGTCCTTTCTGGAAAGACAACACAACCTATACTGGGCCTTCCCAGATCCACTGGGATACTGAGGCCCCGCAGGTCTGGCCCCCGCGCCCAGGGGCACCGGCTGGATTCTGGGAGGCCAGAGCTCGCATTGGAAGCTGGGAGGGGTGACCCAGACACCTGCCTCTGGGTGTGGGCTGTGGGGTCTTCTCTCCGCTCCCCTGCACATGGAAGCTCCCATGAGACAGGGGCACAGGCCCTAGCCCTCTCCGCTCTGTCTGTCTGTGCGCCCCTGCCCGGCCGCCACCCCTCCCCACTGGGGTGGGGGGCAATTGTTGGGGTGTGAGCAATGCATTCTGGAGCCTTACTCCTGACAGCCCCTGCGAGTTAATGGGAACATAGCCCACGCTCTTTCCTCCCGATGAAAAGGGTGATCTCTGGCACTAACCGGCACACCGGTCTGGAGGACTGGAAGGCCGTGGAAGAAAAAGGCCCGAAGGTGATTGGGAAGGCTGGAAATTCTGCCCTGACAGCCGGCATCCGGAGGCAGTAGTACCCAGCCGGAGTCATGGGAGTGTGAGCCGATTAGGACCCACCACTCGGGGACCAAGCCCACCTGCATTTCGCCATTATTAGCTCTGGGTTCAATCCGTGAGGAATGGAGGCTGCAGTCTCATGGACACTCACTGTCCGCAGAGCCTCCCTGGAGCCAACCAGGACCACGCCCACTCTGTACACACAGGCCCCTCCCTCAGAGGTCCGTGGCCTGCCAAACCCTTTGGGTGGGGAGGCCTCTTTCTCAGGCCCCAGGCTCAGGGCAGGACACAGAGTGTGGTGACCAGTCTCTGGGCATCTGCTCCAGCGCCGTCACAGCTGGGGGACCAGCCCTCTCAGTCAGCGGATCCAGGGTGCCATTCTGTCGGGCGGTGGCCAGGTTGCCAGGGCTGCTGTCCCCGCTGGAGGCCCAGCTGGGGGGGACCGCACCTGTCGGATGAGGGCTTACCCTACTCATGTGGGGTCCCCAAAGCAACAGCAAAGGAGGAGGCACCACAGGGTGGGGGCCACAAGTTCACGTGCCACAGTCATTAATGCACGCACCCCACAGCCTCACGTGGCACAGTCACACACACACACACACACACACACTGTCCCCACAGCCGCCTATCACACAGTCATCCACACAGTCTTCCCCACAGCATCAC